CATTTAATAGCTTGTCTAGTGCTAAATATCTCTTTCATCTCCTAGATATAGAACAAATGAAAACTCAAAGATATTATACTTTGGCCTCAAACATAAAACAGAACCAACATTTTTAAAAATTCCTTATGCCTGGTAAATGAAATACCTGGAATATATAATGAAAATGTTAGAAATCTAAGGAGAAAAAGAGGGGGAAAAAAAGGGGGGGGGGGGGGGTTAAAAAAAAAAAAACAAGGAAAAAACTGGCAACTACTCACAGGAGGACCTGCTGGCCCAGTTGGTCCTGGCAACCCATCCCGACCTGGCAGACCTTGTGGTCCCCTAAAATCTTCAAGATTTCCTTCCAATTTTCCTGGCAGACCTGGCTCTCCATCGCGACCTGGTGTACCTGGTAACCCAGCATCACCTGTAAACACAAAGTTTATAGGTGTGAGATGCGTCATCTCAGTGGGTTCATTTCTTATTGGATATAATTAAAACACTGCATATTTTTCATCATCAATTTCCATTTTTCCCGTTATGAGTCCTGGAAAGGACCAGTTAGCGATTCTTTCCTTGATGGATAGCAGTGGCTATAGTCATTCTATATGGATCTTTAACGTTATCAATCCATATTCTCATTGTGTGTCATCCTACTTTCACATCAGATCTTTTTAGATGTAGCACCTAAGATAGTAGTGGTTGTGGCTACACTCTGCCTGCAGAAGATGACCAAACCATCTGATCTACTGATTCTCAGTGAATCTAGTGTACGCTGTACTTCCCACAGTCTGTCTGATAGCATGTTCTCACTCTCACTCCAAATGCCTGTACCATCACCTGTATTTCTTCCCACAGAAACCATGGAGTCGGGTGGCCCTGGAGGTCCCTGTAGCCCTGGTCCTTAGGCTCAAACCACCCCCCCCCCCCCCCCCCCCCCCCCCCCCCCAAAAAAAAAAAACCTTAGGCTTACCCTGCAGAAGAGGTAAATACAGGCAATAACTGCAGTTTGGGCAAAACAGGAAAGAGTACAGGAAAGCTATTTCAAATGAAACAATACTTAGTGTAGAAATGTCACTCACTCACATTAACACACAGATATATATGTATGTATGTATGTATGTATGTATGTATGTATGTATGTATGTATGTATGTATGTATGTATGTATGTATGTATGTATGTATGTATGTATGTATGGATGGATGGATGGATGGATGGATGGATGGATGGATGGATGTATGTATGTATGTATGTATGTATGTATGTATGTATGTATGTATGTATGTATGTATGTATGTATGTATGTATGTATGTATGTATAATACATACATACATACATACATACATACATACATACATCCATCCATCCATCCATACATACATACATACATACATACATACATACATACATACATACATACATACATACATACATACATACATACATATATATCTGTGTGTTAATGTGAGTGAGTGACATTTCTACACTAAGTATTGTATACATACATACATACATACATACATACATACATACATACATACATACATATGTGTGTGTGTATGTGTGCGTGCGTGCGTGTGTACGCGTGCGCGTGCGTGCGTGTGCGTGTGCGCGCACACACACACACACACACAAAGGCAGATACATAAAGCAAACATGTCCCTGAATCTTTCTGTTCATTCAATTAATTTTCTTCCTACAGTCCACGCCACATTGCATTGATAGTGATGGCTATTCACAGCCTTCTGCCTTGTGTTTTTTTCAGTCATAACTGACTAAAGTGCTCTTCAATGCCATGATGTCAAACTGTCCATTATCTTATTTCCCCATCTGCCTCTGCCCTTGTTATCCTACAAATGTCCCACCATTTTGATGCATTTAAGCTTTTTTCTTCTCATGAAATCACCAAAGAATGTGGACTGTCTCCTTATGTGGGCATTCATTCATTCAGTAGCATGTCCCTCGGGGAACCTCGCTGCCATAACAACCCTCCGGAAAACCTTCCTATCCTGAGCAAGATGTCCTGCGTCTGATACACCCATCTGGAGATCATCTGCCACATCCTGCACCCATCTTCTCCTTGGCCTTCCTCTTCCTCTCTTCCCAGGGATATACCCCTCCATTATTGTTCTCTCTAGACTTCCATGACGTTTCAAGTGACCAAAATATTTCAATTTTCTGTGTTTTATTGTCTTTACTAGCCAACCCTCTTCAATCCTTATGTGGGCAGTCAGTTCCATTCCTAAGCTAATTTCCTTCAAGACATTTTCAGTGCTTTTTATCTGTCCATGGTATTCTCATCCTTTGTCTGTTGAACCACACCTTTGCCACCACTTTCACACAATCTTGTCACTAATCAACCATTTGTCCATGATTCACTTCCATATGATAGGATTGAAATTATGTCACGTTTAAGAACTGTCTTCTTTACTTCAAGCTCATTTAAACAGAAAAAGTAAATTTTTGGAGGGCAGAGACGTTACAATAAATTTTTTAAAATTAAAAATGAATTAGTATACCAGTGTGGGAATCTACAATTCCATTATGTCAATTTATTATACAATTTTTGGGGAAATACACTAGCTATTATTTGCATGTAATGTCCCTTGGGCTGACCAAATTTAATGGTAAAACTATGTATTTGATTTTAAGATGAAGAAATATACTTTTCTATCAAGATATGTAGCAAAGAATCATTTAAAATTGAAGAAATATACATTCCTTAAAATATATCAAACAAATGACTTTACACTGCAAAAACTTACATTTCCTGAAAAGTAAAACTCACCTGGTTCTCCCTTGGGACCTGGCGGGCCCTGAGGCCCTATTTTCCCAGGGCGTCTGTCCCAGTCCTCTCCGTCACCAGAAACACCGTCTATCCAAATATCTGTACCATCACCTGTATTTCCTCCCGCAGAAACCACGGGGCCAGGTGGCCCTGGAGGTCCCGGCGGTCCCTGCAGCCCTGGTAAACCATCTTTGCCAGGTAAACCTCTCTCTCCAGGTATGCCTGGTGGTCCAATGACTGTATCACCCTGTTGAGGCAACATAGGAAGTACGAAATAAGGGACCCTTATCCCGCCATTGGCACATCAGGTGTATGAAGCTAGAACATTATAGACCAATTCAACACTTGATTCATGGTCAACTCAAGCCTACCATTTCCCCCCTGGGACATTAACGATTACTCATTTTTAGAATGAACTGACCTTGGATGCAAAGGCATTTTAAAAACATCCACCTTAAAGCAGCTTTTAATTAAAGATCTTTAGGCCAGCATGTGAGCATCTTAGCCAAACAAAGATATTATATTATTTATTTGACTTGAAGACCTTTATAGTTTTTTTCTCTCCAAAAAACATCTATTCTTTTTCATATTCTGCTTTATGCCACTAGGCATCACAGGTTAACAAATGATTGGTATCTGAGCTAGGGCACACCTGGCTACAAGGTTTGTACTAATGTTGTGAAGTCTCAAGGCATCAGTGACTCCTTCAGTCCATACTTTTCTTGGTCATCCTCTAGGTGTTTCTACTTTCAAATTGTATGCTCATGTTACTGGCACCATTGCATTTATTCTCATTAAATGGCCAAACCATTTAAGTCTTTGTTTTTCCAAAACATTAATCATAGATGTTCTTCCAATAGTTCTTGTGATTTTTTTATATTTCTCATATGAACTCTTCTAGGGGCTTTAGGGCTTTAAATATGACTTTAAAAAACCTGAAGCCAATCCCTGAACTACTGTGGATAGATGGTGCTAGCAACATATTTTTATAGAGAAATTGGGACGAACTACGATATGGTCAATATTTGACTGGCCAAGCTAATTTTCAGAATTATTTTTGATTTCTCAAGGGAGGCAACATGATTTTTGCTTTTTCTGTGTTCACCCGAAGATGTGAGTGTGCTGTGGCGGCGATATTTGTGCCCTCTGGCCGAGACATTCTACATCTGCAGGACTTTGATGCCCAGGTTAGCCCTTACAGGGTAACATGATGTAGCTTCTGATATTTGAAAATTATGACTCGATGTGCCATCTTCTTTACATCACACACAAAAAAACTCATCCTCAAACCCATCAGGCATGGCTATGTAGTTCCTAGATGCTCACCTACCCTCCCAAAGGTCTTTGGTTCAATTCCCCATCAAAGTGAATGTTTTTTCAAAATTAACCATGGCTGCCAGGTTGATCTAGCCATAAATGGGAGGCAAGTAATGTCCTGGGAAGTAAAGGTGGACCAGCGTGATGTTGACCACATCACCTACGGAATATTGGTCTAAAAAAAACCTGAGTTTTTTATGCCAGCTGCATCACTGGTGTGAAAAGGGTTCTTTACTGACTGTATACCCTCTAGCTACAGACTGTATCAGGTCAAGGACAGAGTTTTTGAACACACATATAACACAACAATCACTGATAAGCCAGAATTCTAGCACACACATATAATACAACAATCACTGATAAGCCAGAATTCTAGCACACACATATAATACAACAATCACTAAAAAGCCATAATTCTAGCACACAATTATAATAGAACAATCACTGATAGGCCTGAATTCTAGCACACACATATAATACAACAATCATGGATAAGCCATAATTCTAGCACACACATATAATACAACAATCACTGATAACCCTGAATTCTAGCCCACACATATAATCCAACAATCACTGACAAGCCAGAATTCTTGCAAACATATATAATGCAACAATCACTGGTGAGCCAGAATTGTTGAACATATATATTACAACAATCATTGATAAGCCAGAATTCTGACACACATACACATAATATAACAATCACTGATAAGCCAGAATTCTTGCACACACATAAAATACATTAATCACTAAAAAGCCAGAATTCTAGCATCACGTATAATACAACAATCACTGATAGGCCAGAATTTTAGCACACACACACACATACACACAATTCTACACATTATGTAGTGGTAATACCACAACCAATAAGCTTTAGCAACAAAATTATCTGATGTATGGCAATTACCTTTGGTCCTTGTTCTCCTCGAGGTCCAGGCACACCTCGTTCACCTGGTGGTCCAGGAATACCTGCGGGGCCAATTTCCCCTCTTCCTGGCAGACCAGGTTCCCCTGGCTCACCCTTCTGACCCACCTCCAATTCAGGGATCACATCCAGAGATCCAGGGAGCCCAGGTGGACCTGGAGGTCCGGGTGGGCCTGTGATGCTCAGACCTGGTTGACCCTGAAATAAATAAACATCTACAACTGCAGATTGGGGCTATTCAACTGGAGACCCTGGGGCTGAATCCATCCCAATGAAGCCTAGTAAGTGGCCCATGGATCCTTGCCAAAACAGTGAAATGAGGTTATTTAAAACAAATCTTTCTGCAATGCAGCTTAGGTCCCTTATCCATGACGATCCCCATTTTCAAAATGCTGGCCCTAGAATAAGCTTAGTTGAATAGCTCTGCTGTAGATGATAGATTATAGAATATTACAGAAACCTACGAGGAATGATAACCACACTAAAAGACAGGCATGAATGGATTCAAACAGCCATATTTTGTGTTGCACAGGCTTTCTCATTTTGTGGTCGTGAAACAAATTTAAATGGTCCACAATATCATTTACATAAAAATCCTTAACCTTAGAATGCAATCATTTTTTTGAATATAATATTCAAAAATTATAAGTTTTTCAGTATGACTAATATACAATATGGGGTTTGTGGGTTTAGTTACTCCGAAACCATTGGTCAACCCTGCTAAAAAAAAATAGCCAGGTGTCCTTAGGACACTTAGACCAAAAGAAATAAATTGAATAACACATAATATACTGCTTGGGACAACAAAAAATTTGACTTAAAAGTGATCATGGTTAATTTACATCAGAACTAACTTATACTCAATATGCCGAAAAGCCTGTAAAAGGATATAAAACTTATTATATATTATATATATATATATAAATTGTGTCTGTGAGTTAGGCGTTGTGAACAAGCTTCTCAATTCTGTGGTGGTAGGTTTGGTATCCCAGCTGTGAGCAGTCTGGCTGGAGACCATCTTATGCTGATTTTAAGAGTGGTGTCCACAGCTAACTATTCAGTAAGCAGTGGCAAACTAATGAATGTAAATGTGATTACTCAAATCACAAACAGCCAAAAAATGCTGATTTTGGTTTATCAATGTTCTTTACAGGATACACACATAATTATGTATGCTGGTTAAAGGATACACAGCTAACTAAACTAGGATTGGTTTATCAATGTTCTTAAAAGGATACACAACTAATTATATATATATATATATATATATGTAAATAGAGTCTTCAGGAAATTCAATGAACATACCTGATCTCCCCTGTCCCCTTTAGGTCCAGGCTCACCATCTGCTCCAGGCTGGCCAGGTGTTCCAGCATCACCTTTCTCTCCTTTCTGTCCAACAAAACCTTGAATTCCTGTCTCTCCTGGAGACCCTGGGTCACCCTTGTCTCCTGTTGGATTGTTAGGATAATATATTTCACTCAAAAATGTGACTCTTGTACAAATTTGATGCATAAGACACATGGAGCCAGACTCATGTTTTCTTTTTACTGACCAGTCAGCATTTTAAGAGTGATGTGGTCAAGATCATGGTGATATGCTTTATTTCCCAAGACATTTCCTTATATCAGTTCAGGCTGGGTCTACCTGGGAAAATCTGACTTGATGCAGGTTCAAACCCAAGACAGACATCTGGCCACAGTACCACCCAGGCTGCCCGTCAAACCTTGAGGTAGTCATTACTTGTTGGGACCTTTCTCTTTCGAATAACAGTTGGCACTTTTCCTGTTTTCCGTTATCAGTTGGCATTTTCCCCTCCTTCCATTACCAGGTGGCAAATTTCCCTCTTTCCATTACCAGCTTGCATGTTTCCCTCTTTCTATTACCAGCTGGCATTTTTCCTTTCTCCATTACCTGCTGGCATGTTTACCTTTCTCCATTACCTGCTGGCATCTTTCCCTTTCTCCATTACCAGCTGGCATCTTTCCTTTCTTCATTACCAGCTGGCATGTTTTCCTCTTTCCGTTATCAGCTGGCATCTTTCCCTCTTTCCATTATCAGCTCACATCTTTCCCTTTTTCCATTACCAGCTCACATCTTTCCCTCTTTCCATTATCAGCTCACATCTTTCCCTCTTTCCATTACCAGCTCACATCTTTCCCTTTTTCCATTACCAACTGGCGCATTTCCCTTTCTCCATTACCAGCTGTTATCTTTCCCTTTCAACATTACTTGCATTCAAGTTTCCCTCTTTCCATTACCACATGCCATTTTTCCCTTTCAACATTACCTGCATGCACATTACCCTCTTTCCATTACCAGCTAACGCATTTCCCTCTTTCCATTGCCACTTGGCACATTTCCCTCCTTCCATAACCACTTGGCACCTTTCCCTCCTTCCATTACCACTTGGCACCTTTCCCTCTTTCCATTACCAGCTGACACCTTTCCCTCTTTCCATTACCACTTGGCACCTTTCCCTCCATCCATTACCATTTGGCACGTTTCCCTCTTTCCATTACCAGCTGATACCTTTCCATCTTCCCATTACCACTTGGCACCTTTCCCTCCTTCCATTACCACTTGGCACATTTCCCTTCTTCCATTACCAGCTGACACATTTTTCCTCCTTCCATTACCAGCAGGCACATTTCCTTCTTTCCATAACCAGCTGACACCTTTCCATTTTTGTAGATGATAATATTTGCTTCAGGGATTCATGGGAATTCCTAGCGCACGGTGAACACGAAAGCCTACGTGGTATTGTCCAGATATGTGTTGCCCATGATGCATGAGCCCTCGGTTGGCCTGCCTTGTTTACACAGAAGGGAAGGTAAAATTTGTATGTTTTGAGCAAAGCATGTTGCAGAAGCTGCTGGATCAGAAGAGAATGCTGCCTGTCTGCCTGACGGAGCTTCCCTCCAAGACTATCTGCCAACCAATGCTAAGGGACTAGTCTGTCCTGTTAAAACATAAATGTATTAGGTTGCCTGTCATCTTCCTATGATAAAACTAGTATCCTCTCAAAATGCACTTCTGCGCCCAAAATCATTGGCACAATGGGGGATGTCAGGTTTGGTATACAACGCCCAACATTCAGCGGTGTTAACAGGTATAAGTTATTAATGGCTATGGTTACAATGCATCATAATGTAGCAGGTCATATGCAGAATGTCGCTCTCATCCAGGTCTGCCTGAAAGAAACTCAGTCTCTCGCCAGCTCTCCCGCACCCTGTACTTTCATATCCAAGGAGTCACTGATATCCTGTGCCCATCTTTGTGTTGTAATACTGCAGCTCTGCCATATCTGAAGCAATCACTATTACAATCATCATTGTCATTATTGATCAACTTTCAATTCTGGTTATAAACTAAGACACAAATAAGAGCCCCCAAACAAGAAAGCCCATACCCTTGGCACCTCTAAGTCCTTCAAGATCTGGGGGTGGTGGAGTAATTAGCGGTGGACGCTCCAAGCCGGGCAATCCAGGTGGGCCTTGATCTCCTTTGTCACCTTTAACACCTGGGACCCCTTGATCTCCTTTCTCACCCTTGACAATGCCTCTTCCCTGTGTCATAAATAAAATAATGGTAACTGGCTTATAAATTTTTGCAACAGGTAGAAGTACAAAGCAGCTTTATATAATACTAAATAAAGAAACAAAGTCTGCTGCAGCGATAAGACTTCTTTAGCAGACAACAATGAAACTCAAAACCCAACATCTAGAAAAAACAATTGACACAGAAATGACACCGAAGTAACCAGGATACCCGGCCTGGACTGAATGAACATCATCATCAGGTGCCTTGTCGACTGGCGTGGGCGATCATGCCTCTCCACAATTTGCGATATCCTGCAGCATGTATTAGTTCGTGTGCTGACACACCTCAATGTCAAACAACAAGACTGTCAAAAATCTTCTCTCATTGTTATCCCTCCTTCCACAGATCTTTCCGGTGGTCACAACATGTTCCATGTTCCCTCTTCTCCTAACGTGGCCAAAAAAATTATGACTGTCTCCTTCTGATGTCACTGATTAGTTGTCTTCGGGCTCCCGCCTCTTTAAAAACCTCTTGGTTGCTCTTTATGGCTGTCCAAGGTATTTTAAGCATTCTTCTGTAAAACCACATCTCTGAGGCCTCAAAAAATTGTTTGGCCTTACTACCGATTGTCTAGGACTCACAGCCATCCGTTAAAACTGGTTGTATGTAGCAGGCAACATACATAATATAAAAGATCTGCGAAGGGAAAGGAAAGAAATACACAGATACAAACATTTCTAAACTTTATCCAGACAAGAAAGACAATACTATATCACAGAAAACAGATATATGTACAAGCACCAGATATGAACTACAGAACGTTAAAGAAAATTTATAAACTCAAAGCTAGTAAAATTACCTGCTACCTAATCATTCCTGTGTCTGTGCGAGGTTACCTACTGACGTGTGGTAGTGTGTAATTTTTGATTAGATGATTTATCATCTTCTTCTTCTTCTTCTCGCTCATTGACAGAAAGTTCTATCTGATCATGGTTCTGGGCTTTAATCATGTTCCAAGAGAAATTGAGTCTTGCATGCACATACATTTTACAGATCTGGGCTATCTGCAGGCAGACTACTGTTTCCTCACCCCTCAGGAAAATGCCTTCCGACTTCAAAGGAAACACCCTTAATTAGTCTACTTTGACCACGTGCACATTGGGTAGTGTATCCATTTCTTATTCTCTCCGCCCATACCCCATAACTGAGCGACGGAACCTACAGGGGAACAACTACCATATAAATAACAATAAACTACACTACCTCTATAGATCAAGTTCCAGAGCAATGGATACCAACTTGGCAATATCAGGAAGTATGAATTAATGATGATTAAAAAAATTTAAAAACCTGTTCGTGTCTGAGGTGCTTTGGGCACATAATGCTAGTACCATTATTTTATTGACTAACTAGGAATCACACTTTATCTCCCTTGAACGTTCCTGTCTGTGTTTGCTTGACAACCTAAGTCAATTTTACAAATCTAGTTTGCAAATTTCGAGCATGCACAACGTTTAAACTGACAGTTACAATATACACTTGATAAGAACATTATATAGACAAAAACAGCAGCGCTAGCAGAATAAGAGGGTGAAGGAGGAGGTTCAGGAACAGGAAAAGGAGAAAAAGAAGATAAAGAAA